TTAAAAAATGTATGTTATGACTCACGAAATCGTAATGACACGATTGCAAACAAACCATACCCCGCGGCGGGCTGGAGTTTTGAGACTCTCTGACCGCGGGTTCAATCCCGGCCGGGGTATGGTTTGTATGTTATGTACACTATGCTTACATAAAACTTACTTATTTAAGTATTAAATTACTTTACTTACTTTGTTAATTAAAAGGTGGTTAGTCTTTCCTGGAGAGAAGTTTGAATTGATTCTGATCTGTGTATGACCCAATCAGCGCTGTTATACACAAATAACCCGCACATTGAAGAGAGGAGCTTAGGACGACGTTTCAGTCCGACTTGGACCATTTACAGAGTAGGACCGAAACGTCATCGTAAGCTCCTCTCTTCTATGTGCGGGTTATTTGTGTATCGTTCCAGTCACGGTATTGTGCCTTATTTTCTTATTTAGCGCTATTATTTAAACTGTAACACTTAAAATAGTGCGTTTCAAGTGATGATTTCTGAGTGTCGCATCGGATTAGCTTCAGACTTATCAAGCTGATAATAATGAAACTTTTGAACAGCTTGAAGCTTAATGTGCTTGTGTATTTTAGGATAATGATTTTTTTGGTGTCTGAAAGGTTATAATTATATTTAGGCTGTGTAATATCATAATTTATCATTATTATTATTATTAAAGAAATTAATATATTAACTTACTCATGATGAATTTTGAATTCTTCTTCTGATTTCCTGAAAATCTTCAAACATAATAGCTGATTTAATTTTCTATTTTTGCCGCATTCTACACATATCTTAACGCAAAGAAACAGAAATTTACCAAAAATATGTCAATGAAATCACTAGCTTAGTATTGTTAACAAACCTAGATGAAATGCGATAAAAATTCGATGTACTTCCATTGAAAATTTTAAGATTGTGTTTTAAACATTGAAAATTAACATAAAATGTTCTCACTATTATACTGGAGCCTTATATATCAGGTTAAGACAGTGTATACTGTGCTAATTAATCTGTAATGTTAATTCATGTAGTTGAACATTAAATACCTATTATATTCAATATCACATTCTTATTTTTGTGATTATAATTTATTTTCAAGAGTGATTTAGTTTTTTATTATACTGGATCTTATTGCTCTTTTAATAATATATAAAATGAACGAAAATTTAAATTTCGCTATTTTTTACGTTTTAAGCTAATTACTGAAACAAATAATTATTTAAGCAATATGATGAGTGATTTTTGAACGAGGTTCACTGATTTTCATTCGGTCTTTCAGTCGAGGAGGATAATACATATTAATTCTAGTATCACGTCTAATTTGTTAGCTTTAAAGTGAGGCCCTAAGTACGTAGTTAACTATCGAATGAGTTCCATTTAAGCAGCAACACTTGGACACTTACGTATTCCTTGGTTTAAAGTTGCAGTTGATAATTTTCAAGGTGACATCCACGATGTTTAATCATTCTCTTCGTATCTAAAAGTTCAGTAATACTTGTTAATATGATTTTTAATTCGCACTAGATTTACTGTGGGTGATCTGGGTTAGATCTTGGCATCAAGGCTCTTTGACTCTGTTGCTGTTTTTTTTTTTTCGTAAAATGATATTGCTTTAACATTTATAATATTGTTATTGCTGGGTAAAGTTTTTTATATGTGCTGATGTGGGATAACAACGCATAGCTTGCATAATAAAGACAAGAACTTTGAACCTAACCTCAGTAAAACGATTAATTCTTGAGAGACTGAGAGAGAGAGAGAGAGAGAGAGAGAGAGAGAGAGAGAGAGAGAGAGAGAGAGAGAGAGAGAGAGAGAGAGAGAGAGAGAGAGAGAGAGAGAGAGAGAGAGAGAGAGAGAGTCAAGAGAAGGCGGACCTCTTTGCTGAACACTTTGCTACCAAAATGCAAGTTCCTGATCCAGCAAGGGACCCTCCTTGGCTAGCTGCAAGAATTGTGTCAAAACTGTCAGTGGTGACAATAAGGCAGGAGGAGGTGCATTTCCTTCTTAAATCGCTTGACCAAGAAAAGGCTGTGGGCCCAGACAAGTTGAGCCCAAGATTGTTGAGAAGATGTGCAGACCAGCTAGCAGCACCTCTAACTCGCATCTTTCAGCACTGCCTAGTACAGTGTAAATGGCCTTCTCTATGGAAAGAGGCAAATGTAGTCCCTGTTCACAAAAAGAAGAGCAGAGCAGAAATCAGCAACTACAGACCAGTGTCACTCCTGTCAATCACTGGTAAGATCCTTGAGACAATAATCTCAAGACAAATGACAGAGTTTTTTGACTACCACTAACAACTTTGTGATCGTCAACATGGCTTCAGGAAAGGTTACTCTGCTGCTGATCTGTTGTTAAACCTCTCCACTAAGTGGCACCAGTCACTGGATGAATCCAAAGTCAGCTGTGTGGTAGCACTGGACATTGCTGGCGCTTTCGACCGGGTGTGGCACCAGGGCCTCTTAGCAAAACTTCAAGCACTGGGAATTGCAGGCTCTACGCTATGTCTCCTCAGTGATTACCTTCATGGTAGATCTCTAAGTGTAGTTCTCAATGGAACGGAATCAGCAAGACATCCTATTGGGGCAAGTGTTCCACAAGGAAGCGTGCTGGGTCCACTGTTATGGAATGTCTACTTCAACGACCTTCTTCATCTCATCCCAGAATCACATGCATATGCAGACGACTGTACACTGACATTCACTTATCCAAGAGAAGAAATGCCAGCTGCTCTAAGCTACATCAATCACCAGCTGAGAGCTATATCAGCTTGGGGAAATAGATGGAAAGTAACATTTGCACTTGAGAAAACGCAAATGATGATCGTCTCTAGGCACCATGATGGTAATGCTGGTGCAGTAGTAAGGATGAATGGGAGGGTGTTAGCACCTGGAGAAGAAGTTGATATCCTTGGGGTGAAATTTGACTCCAAACTAACCATGAAGGAACCATGTTGTAAATCTTGCAAACAAGGCAGCCAGGAAGCTTACAGCACTTCGCCGTATCTCGCATCTGCTTGACAGTAGGGGTTGCAAGATCCTGTACGAGGCACAAGTACGCTCACACCTTGAGTATGCTCCACTTTCTTGGTTTGCCTCCCCCCCCCCTCTCATCTGCGACTCCTTGACAGAGCAGAGAACAGAGCAAGACGTCTCATCTCTCGCCTGGACCCATCCTGGATAGATCTGTCATTTCAGCAGAGCCTTCAACATAGGAGGGATGTGGGTGGCCTTACTGTTATGTACAAGGCCAATATTGTCAAAATACCACTCTTGGATCCACTTCGAGGACAGCGTGAAACAAGCTTTCAAGCTTTTATGCCACAAGACGGGCAGAAAGCAGCAACTTCACTCTGGCTGTACCCTTCTCCAGAACATCACTCCATCTGAGATCACACATACCCAGGATGACTCGAGTATGGAACACATTCGTACAGCATAATGATGTCAACGAGATAAAGTCAGTTGATCAAATGAAAATGCTGGCCCACAGATGGCTCCAACTTCATCCTGTTCCCTACTTGTATGTCTCATAACAATAAAAATGCTTTCAAATGAGCTGATGTAGGTAACAGCTCTTAGCTTGCCAATAAAGTTAGGAATCCTTAACCTGTAAATAGCTTGTTAATGAAGCTAGGGATCCTTAACCTTGTCAAACCCTGTGTAAGAAAAAAAAAGAAAGAGAAAGAGAGAGAGAGAGAGAGAGAGAGAGAGAGAGAGAGAGAGAGAGAGAGAGAGAGAGAGAGAGAGAGAGAGAGAGAGAGAGAGAGAGAGAGAGAGAGAGAGAGAGAGAGAGCAAGTGAAGGTAAGAAAGCGTAGGAGTAAGGAAGGAAGAGATTGGGAGGAGCACTTATGACTTGGGGAAGACAAGGAAGAATTTCAATAACGAGGGGGCTATTCTTCTCTCATGAATTCCCAAACTTTTGCAGTGGGTTAAGCTTGGTGTTCTGCAGAGCCAGAGCAAACTGCTCCGCTGGGAACACTGCCATTAAGAAGTGTCCCTTCGGGTACCGCACCTCTCACACTTGTGGAACCATGAAATTGTGGAATGTGAACTTACAGCTTTGTTGATTATAATACTACACGTTGTGATATCTCAAGGATCGTTCAGTTACTACTATATGTGTCACATATTTTGGTAATTTTCCCAGTTACAAAGTATAATAATTTCCCTTTTTCTGTGTTTAAATTGAGGAAATGAAATATTCACACACTTTATCCTTGCTCATGATAGCAGGGTATGTAATACGTTACTGAACGACCACGCAATTCTAAAAGGATCCAGCACCCAGCAGACCTAGGTGTTTTACCTTGATCCGAGGACATATGGAGGTATGGGTGCTTCTGAGCTAATTTCATTCTACTCCCCATTTGGCGTACTAGCCTCCATGAACAGTAAAACACCTAGCTCTGCTGGGTGCTTGGTTCTTGTAGGATTGCGTGGTCCAGTGGGTTAGAGCGTCATGTGTGATTTTCGCTCACCATAAGGCGGGCCAAATTCACATGGGTTCGAATCCTCGACTAGTCGCAGTGTTGTTATTGATTCAATACCACTTGTTCGTGGTTAAAATAATATAAAATACTGCTCGTGGTTGCTAGAGTATCAGTTTCGCTTCACAGAGTTGGGTGTTGTGACGCGAGTGTGAGGTGTAGTCTTCCCTTTATATGCCTTCCTATTGGTGTTTTGTTTTCATAGTTCCTTGATAATGTGAGAAGCCACGAAAGAGCCTGGAATTTCGCTATTCTTTGACAGTGGTTGTTCTGCATATTGTGATATCACCTCTTTACTGTGGTTTTATTACATATGTATATAAATATATATATATATATATATATATATATATATATATATATATATATATATATATATATATATATTATATAATATATTAATATTATATATATATATTTTATATATATATATATATATTATATATATATATATATAATTGCAAACGACGTAAGTAGAGAATTGGAAAAGCACTGGAGAAATAAGATCGGATCTCACTTGTTATAGAGGACGATGTCTGGCAGCCAAATGTGTTCTGAGGGTACATGAAGAATTTCAACTCCACCGTAATCCTCTGGCTCCCACACCAGTTTGTAGTCTCTCCATTCCTGTTAAGGGATAGACAAGCATTATTCTAGGCTGACATCTTTTGTCATAATTCGCTGTAAGTAGTCTATTGGTGTGTGTGTGTGTGTGTGTGTACTCCCTTATTTGTGCTCACCTATTTGTGGTTGCAGGGATCGATTCATAGCTCCTGGTCCTGCCTTTTCACTGATTTCCACTAGGCCCTCTCTCTCTCCCTGCTCCGTGAGCTTCATCAAACCTCGTCACTTTCCAGGCTATTCCACTTCATGACAACTCTATGACTTAAGAAATGCTTCCTAACCTCCCTTTGACTCATAAGAATATTCAACTTCCAATTGTGACCCCTTGTTTTTGTGTCCCATCTCTGGAGCATCTGTCTCTGTCCACCTTGTCTATTTCTCGCAGTATTTTATATGTCGTTATCATGTCTCCCCTGACTCTCCTGTCTTCCAATGTCGTCAGGCCGATTTCCCTTAACCTTTCTTCGTAGGACATTCCCCTTAGCTCTTGGACTAGTCTCATAGCAAATCTTTGCGCTTTCTCTAATATCTTGACGTGCTTGACCAGGTGTTGATTCCAAACTGGTGCTGCATACTCCAATATGGGCCTAACGTATATTCAAATTCAAATTCAAATTCAAAGTTTATTCTCTATAAGGATTACAATGCTGAGTTTACAGAATCTGGTTATTGTGTGGTTTACATGTAGTAAAATAATAATTACAGAGTGTACCACTAGAACACCTAGCATGGCTAGGCATTTCGGGCAGACTTAAATTAAATCTTAAGTTTAAAATATTACAAAATTATGAGGTAAGTTGGTATTATGGCTAAGTGACTAAATACTAGTTTGTGAGTTTAGCAATGTGAATGCTTTTGTTTTGGCACTATACATAGTTTCAGTATTGGAGTATCACAGGCCAACTTATGACTAGTTAAGATTCATTATTTTGAAATTGAGATTAATATTTCTGTTTATGGTCAAATGGGTGAGTGAGTGTAAGTGTGAACCACCAGGTGGTATTCGTGTAATTAGTTGACAGGGTGTATCAGGGAGATAAGATGTTTTCTGATGGTAGTTTTGAAGGTGATGAATGTGTCTGCAGTTTTAGAATTTTCAGGTAGGGTGTTCCAGATTTAGGGCCTTTGACATGCAATGAATTTTTGTAAAGGTTTAGTCGGACACGGGGAATGTCATAGAGATGTTTGTGTCTGGTGTTGTGCCTGTGGGTTCTGTCACAGCTATCAAGAAAGCGTTTTAGGTCAAGGTTAATATTGGAATTTAAGGCCCTGTAGATGTAGATTGCACAGTAGTAAGTGTGGATGTACTGAACAGGGAGTAAGTTTAGATCTATGAAGAGTGGGGGGGTGTGTTGCCAGGGATGGGATTTAGTGATTATTCTTACTGCGGCTTTTTGTTGGGTTATTATTGGCTTTAGGTGTGTTGCTGCATTTGAACCCCAAGCACAGATAGCATAGGTGAGGTAGGGATATATAAGTGAATGGTATAGTGTGAGAAGGGCAGTTTGCGGCACGTAGTATCGTATCTTGGAGAGGATCCCAACCGTTTTGGATACTTTTTTGGTTGTGTTGGATATGGGTGCTGAAGTTCAGGTTGTTGTCGAGGTATAGGCCTAGGAATTTGCCCTCATTATGCCTGGCAATTAGAGTGTTGTCGATCTTAATGTTAATTTGCGCATCTCCTGCTCTGCTACCAAACATAATGTAGTAGGTTTTGTCAGTGTTAAGCGTAAGTTTATTGGCTGTCATCCAAGTCCATATTTTGATCAGCTCCTCATTAACAATGGTGTTGAGGGTGGCAAGATTAGGGTGAGTCAGCAAAGAGAATGGGGTTCAGGTGTTGAGATACGTTTGGAAGATCATTGATGTACATGAGGAAGAGCAGGGACCAAGGACACTTCCCTGCGGAACTCCAGTATCAAGTGGCTGTGTTGTTGATGCTGTGTCTTTAATGGTGACATACTGATACCTATTAGTAAGGTAAGATTTGAAATATGCAAGCGCATGGTCTCTTATACCTTAATGGTCAGGTTTGTGGAGTAGGATGCCGTGGTCTACTATGTCAAAGTTTTTCTTAGGTCAATAAAAATTCCTAGTGGATATTCCTTATTTTCCAATGCTGTGTAAAGCAGATCTAGCATTTTTATGATTGCATCATTAGTGCTTTTATTTTTCCTGAATCCAAATTGGCAGGGGTTGAGTATGTTTTGTGCCGTTATAAATGAATATAGTCTCCTGTGCACGAGTTTCTCAAAAATTTTGGATAGCAATGGTAAGTTTGATATTGGCCTATAGTTGTTTAAAGCTGTAGGGTCACCACCTTTATGTATTGGTGTAACCCTTGCCGTCTTGAGTAGTTTCGGGAAGGTGCTAGTTTCTAATGACCTGTTAAAAAGTAATGAGATAGCATGCGAGAGGACATGGGCCGCTCTCTTGTACAATAATGGTGGGACATGAGACAGATTCCCTGAGTTATTTTTAAGTGACTTTATAATCTCGGTGACTTCCGTGGGCTCAGTTGGAGCAAGATAGAAAGAATTTGGGAAATTCCCATCTAGGTAGTCCCTGGCATGGGCATTGGTACGTGGGATTTTATTGGCGAGATTAGAACCTATGGTTGAGAAGAAGTCGTTTATCTTGTTAGCTGTGTCAGTGGGATGCAGTGGTGTTTCATTAGGTTTAGTTAGGACAATATTCTTGTTTTTTTTTTCAGTTTGTGGGTCCCTAGAATTTGAGAGAGTGTTTTCCTGGTCTTTTTTATATCTCCTCTTGTGTCAGTGAATCTACTGGAGTAGTATAGTTGTTTGGCTTTCTTTATTACTTTGGTGAGGACTGATGAATAGTGTTTAAGAATATCTTTGTGTATTAGGCCCTGTCTATATTGCTTTTCAAATTGGTGTTTCTTATCAATGGATTTCAGAATGGTGCTGGTTAGCCATGGGCAACCAAGCCGTTTGTTTGTGATCTGTTTCGTTTTTATAGGACAAGGTTTGTTGTATAGTCTAAGTAATTTGTTAAGAAAAATGTCTGTCTAGTCATCAATACCATTAGCCTTGGAAAATTCTGTAGGCCAGTCAACAGTCTCTAGATCAGCTGTGAACTTCCTTATTGAGGCCTCATCGTGGAGTCTAAATGAAACTTTGTTGTATTCAAGTGGTGGTTTACTAATGTTTGTCAAGAGGAAGGTAGGGATAGTGGTCTGTAGTGCTATCTGTGATTATCCCTGATTTAAGAGGGGGCTAGTATATTGGTCCATATGTGGTCTATTATGGTTGCACTTGTTTCAGTGAGCCTGGTTGGTTTAGTTATTGTTGGTATGAGAAGTGTGTTGTTCATATTGTTGATGTACTGTTGGTGTACCGAGTCTTCAACGATTCCTTACTGAGGCATCGGAACGCTATTCTTAGGTTTCCCAGACGCCCCTATGCTGCAACATTTATCTGACTGACGTGCGCCTCAGGAGAAGTACTCGGTATTATACTCACACCGAGATCTTTTTTCTCGTGTGAGGTTTGCAGTCTTCGGCGACCTAGATTATACTCTCTCTGCGGTCTTCTTTGCCCTTCCCCGATCTTCATGACTTTGCATTTGGCAGGGATAAATTCAAAAAGCCAGCTGCTGGTCCAGGCTTGTAGCCTGTCCAGGTCTCTTTGTAGTCATGCCTAATCCTCGACATATTTAATTCTCCTCATAAATTTTATATCATCTACAAACAATGACATATCTGATTCTATCCCTTCTGTTATGTCATTTACACATACCAAAAACAGCAAAAGGTCCTAGGACTGACCCCTGTGGAACCCCACTCGTCACAGGTGCCCACTCGGACACCTCGTCACGTACCATGACTCGTTGTTGCCTCCTTGTCAGATATTCTCTGCTCCATTGCAGTGCCTTTCCTGATATGCGTGCCTGATCTTCTAGCTTTTGCATAAAACCTCCTGTGAGGAACTGTGTCGAAGGCCTTCTTGCAGTCCAAGAAAATGCAGTCTATCCACCCCTCTCTCTCGTGACTTACTTGTCTTTCTTTGTCATAAAACTCCAGTAGGTTTGTGACAGAATTTTCCTTCTCTGAATCTGTGCTGGTTGTCGTTTATAAGCTTGTGTCGTTTTAGGTGCTCTACCACTCTCCTCCTGAAGATCTTTTCCATGATTTTTCATAATATACACGTCAATGACACTGGTCTGTAGTTTAATATCTTGTGTTTCTCTCCTTTCTTAAAAATTGGGACTACATTTGCCATCTTCCATACCCCAGGCAGTTGCCCAGTTTCAATGGATGTGTTAAAGATATTTTTAGTGGCACACACAGCATCTCTGCTCCCTCTCTAAGGACCCACGGAGAGATGTTGTGTGGTATCACTATGTAATCAAAACGAAGAACCACATGATCACTAGCTCCAAGGGGCCTTTCGAACGTGATATTCTCGATGTCTGAAGTACACAAGGTGAATACTAGGTCCAGTCTTGCTGGATCATCCTCACCTCTCTCTCTGGTAGTGTCTCTAACATGTTGATGCATGAGGTGTGCGTGTGTGTGTGTGTGTACTCACCTAATTGTTGTCGCATGTGTCGAGTCATAGCTCCTGGTCCCGCCTTTTCGTTGGTCGCTTCTAAATCCACTCTCTGCTCCATGAGCTTTGTCTTATCTCTTCTTAAAACTATGTATGGATCCTGCCTGATCTACAGCAATCTCCATGTTGTTCCACTTTCTGACAACTCTATGGCTAAAAAAAATATTTCCTAATATCCCTGTAACTCATCTGAGACTTCAATTTCCAATTGCGACCCCTTGTTGCTGTGTCCCATCTGTGAAGCATCCTGCTCCTGTCTACCTTGTCAATTCCTCTCTGTCTTTTATTTGTTAAAATCATGTCATCCCTATCTCTCCTGTCCTCTCTAATTTCTTGATGTGCTTGACAAAGTGTGGGTTCCACACTTGGTAGGACTGCTAAGGGATCAGAACACGCTTGCAGTCTGTTCTGATCCCTTTGCAGTCCTAC